CCACAGTCAATGCTCTGGGCTCACATCCCAGGACCTTCCCGAGCACTGCAGGTATACCCCTGATCTGAACTGCCTGAGACTGGGGGTGGATCGAACTGTCGGGACCCTGTTAGGGATGCCTTTCTCTCAAGAGACAAATGAATAAATTAAACACACACACACACACACAAAGGAATAAGAATGCACTCCAAATTTAAATATGCTACTCATTGTTAGCAGTGACATCATTCTAAATAATTGTGTCTGCAACAGAGCCACTGCCCTTTCTTTTTTCTTTTTTCATTTTTGCTATAGGGTGGGTGCACTTGCCAGAGAGACAGAGAAAGAAAAGGGGGCTAGTGAGAAATCTCCCCTGCCCCCCCCAAAAAAGATGGCCACACCGCAATCCCCTCTACTCCACTCTCCTATTAGGATTTTAGGCGCACACACACATGCACCCAGCAAATTTTCCAAGCCAGTAGGCCTGAGACTGAACAGTGTGGTCAGCCATGTGGGATCCAGCTGCCTTAACCTCCACACCACCTGCTAGGCAGATAAAAGTCACAACTTTTCTAGACTCTGGTCCAGACATTGCTATTACTCTAAGGTTCAGTTACCCCAACAAAAGCAGAAAAAGAAATTGGTAGTCCTTCTTTCTCTCATACTGATATTCTGCTGTACTTAACTTATGTTGTTATTCTTTATACTCAGTATTCTACCTCTCAAGTTTTTTGACACGTGTAATATACAGTAGTTAGATGAAATAGAAGCAGATCATGGTATACAAGTGGGAAACAAGACAGCATGCTAGGAAGCTGGCTGGAAAGAAAACAAGCACAGATTATCATAGACTGAAAAGCAGCAACGAACAGACTCTGAATATATACCCCAGAAATGTAAACCGTAAAATCCAGCTAACCTATTATATGGAATCTATTTTTCATGGATGTTTAAGTTTTACTGCATGCAATTCCAGGAAAATAATGTCATGTTAGAAAAATAGAACTGATTACAAAGGTACTGTTATATTTTGAAAAATACAGAAAAATGATAGGAATGTTAAGTCCTGGTGAATGTTTTACCCAATAGATAATGTTTTTATTGAACAGAATCTTTTTTGATTTGAATATCCAAAATACCCAGTTGGTCTAATCTTTTTTTTCTTTTCTATCTTTTGCTTGCTTAGTTTTTAAAAGTTATAACATATATACTATGGAGAGCACAAATCGTAATGTACAGCTTGATGAAGTCTCACCAAGTAAGCCTATCTGTTTATCAGCACACAGTAGCAACTTTTAAGGTGATAGTGTTAAGGTTAAAGGATTAAAACCATCAACAGCCACCACAAAAAGGTGCAGTAGTAAACAGAACAAAAAACTAGGTTATTGTAACTAAATCCAGGGACGCACACTTGAAAAAATAAAACACTTTTTGGCTCCTGCTTTACACTACATGGGTATTTTGTATTTCAGGAACATAAACTACTGTATATAGCCTCAATCTGATAGGTCCCTGAATGGGGGTTCTTCTACTGTACCCCCAGCCCTTCCTAAAGTAGCTGAATATTTGAAAAGAAACAGAAAAAGGGGGGGGGGAACATTTCAAAAGCAATTAGATTGTTCAGTAATCTCTTCCCCTTCCAGAGCTGCAACCCTCAATGTTAATTCTCTTAGAAGCTGTGACCTTACAAGATAACTCTGAGACTGAAAAACAACTTTTCGACGTTTTGGTACTTTCTTCTTTCCTCTAATTGACAGGTCATTTATGTTCTCTTGGAATTATCGTTCTGGGGCTTCTAATTTCACGTCTAATCATAGCGCTCTGGCGTCCATTCCCGGCGGCTCACAGGGACTCTACCTATCCACGTTCACCTTCCTATAAACAACGCATACTTTTTATGTTCGCTATGTGACCTGTTCAGAATGTACGAGCAATTCGGCCACACGTGTGACAGGCCACACGGAGGGGCTCTTCCTGGCACAGACTCCACCGAACGCGAGGCCCTGGTACCCAAACGAGGCAACAATGAAAGCGCGGCAGAGCCGGCGACGTCCCTGCGAGCGACCGAGCCTGCTCTGATTTCAGGAGCGCGCCCGCTCGGGTTGCCTGGATGACCGAGGGGAAGGAAGGCTCCAGAGAAGAGGGTCTCCATGGGAAGCCTGGGATGAGCGTGGGCGACCCAGCCACCCGCTGTCCCCACCACAAAGAAGAGTCAACGCTCCGCATCCCGTCACCAGGGCAACTCTGCAATCCGACACCGACGCTCAAGATTCCGCATCCCCGGCCACCGGCGCAGCAGAGAAGCGCATCACAGCCCGGTCGCGGGGACTCCGAGGCGTCCCTGCCGCCGCCGTCCTCGGGGTGCCCGGTGCGACGCGGGAGACGCCCACGCCCGGGTCCGAGGCTCAGCCACCGCAGCGCCC